CACACTTATTCTTTCCAAAACTATTGTCTATTTCCTCTGTAGAAACTTCCAGAGCAAATTTTCTCCATGCATTGTCTTTATTTCTTTGCTCTCCACTGATTCCTTAGTGCATTCTAATCTGGCCTCTAATCCTGCTCCTCTCTCACTCTGCTGAAATGACTCTTGGTAAAATCGTCTCTCAGTAACCATCACACCATTAAGTACAATTGCATTTTAGTCTTCATCCAGCCAGAACTCTCAATGTTATTTGCTATGATTTAGATCCGAAATATCCTCCACAGGCCCATTTGCTAAAGGCTTGGTCACCAGCTGAGGCACTATTGGCAGGTAGTAGAACCTTTCGGAGGTGAGGCCCAGTAGGAGGAAGTTAGATGTACCCTAAAGAAGATATTGGGACTCCAGACCCTTCCTGTCTCTGTTTTTGCTACCATGTACCATGAGGTGAAAGGTCTCCTCCCCCATCCACCCATGATATACTGTGCCACCAAAGCAATGCAGCCAAGTGACCATGGACTTAAACCATCAACTTAAATAAAAGTTTACTCCCTTTAAGTTGACTGAGTCCGTTATTTTTATCACAAGGATGGAAAGCTGATCAGCACAGAACTCAATTTTTGTCCAGTACTTCCTTTTGGAAATTCCCCTTCCAAAACCTTGGTCTACTGTCCCTTGTCTATGTGAAAGTTATCACTACACATCCAGTTACAAAAACTTGAATCTTAAGGGTCATCTTTGACAACCCCCTTTCATTGGCATGTTTTATCCTGTTACTTCTATTTCCTAAATGCATGTAGTATGCCCCCTTTTCTAATCTGCACTGCCATAGTCCTTGTTCAAGCTCTTATTTAGATTCTACTATTGCTACTTCATAATTAGTCTCCTCAATTCTTCCCTTGATCCACTCATGACCAATTCTCTACACAATAGCCAGACTCATCTAATAAAAATACAACAAAATTAAATTATTTTAGGATAAATTTAACAGTTCTTAATTGTGCTTTTGAAGACTTCATTTGATATTTTTAAAAATTATTTTATTAACTTCTTTCAAGACTCCTTAAAATTTAGTTCTCAATTTACATAAAACTATGGTTAAATTTTAAGAGAGTAGCCACTACCCTATTTTTAATTGCTCAACTTACATTTAAAGATCATTCTACAAAAAGATAATCCTTTAGAAAATCAGAATATGTTGTCTCTAATGATATTTTTAGTGCCTTGCTGTTTCTGTTACTATTATTTTAGTTTTTCTAATTTAAAGGTCAATAAAAGCAGAATAATCTAATTCTTCCAAATAGTATACTGTTTTAAAAACCTAGCCTTAACTTCTGCCACCAACATTTTGAACCCACCAACATGATACAAAATTTAGCATTATCTTCCTTCCTTCCTCTTGTTATTGAACACACTGTATTACAACAACTTCACATTTGTTTTAAAATTTTAGATGGTAGTGTTTTTTTTGTTGTTGTTGTTCAGTGTTTGAAGACTTTTGAAGATAAGTTTTAAAAGTCTAAAAATGAAGAATCAGAAATGAAAGATTCATGTTTATTTTCTTCCTTCTCTACTAATACAAATTAAAGAGATAACTGTGAGACCTCAAAAGACACCTTTTGCATTATAAAAGAAGACAGAAGGGCCATTTTTTACCTTTTCCTAGTTTCACTTCTTCTATTCCTTCATTTCAAATGTTGGTTAGCTCCTCCTAAAAATATGTTACTGTACTGTTTTTCTGAAATGCCTGAGCTTCGTTTTTAAAGCAAACAAAAATTTGACTATACTTGATTCACTTTTGAGCTACCAACATAAATCTCCATATTGCATCAATCTGAAGTACTTTGAGGAAGTTAGTGGCTCAAGTGGCCTTCTGGGAGCAATGGATCTCATCTTATTTCTGACAAATCAATGAGAACTTGATGAAAGAAAGAGAGCATTTACCATCCAGCCCATTCTTATAAAGGACCAGCGTTCCAGCCCTCCTAAGATGTGCCTTACTTCTGTAGCAGCCCCTGAACTGGAGGCAATAAGGCTGGGTATTCACCACTAAGGACCTCTGCTGGGCACTGTGGGGGAGAGGGGTAGATCAATCTTCCCTTCAATGAAACTGGGTTCTATCTAATATGAGGAACGGTGATATTAAAAAGAAGTGATGTTTTTGGGAGACCAAAATAAATTTAATTTGGGTATACTGCCAAATTCTTCCTTTGTCTATCACTTATTCTTATGTAAAGTCGGCCTGTCTCCCTTGCTGGGGAATTACAGAAATCTAAAACTGACCCTTTTCACCAGTTACTGGAAACCAACAGCAAAAGAAAGATGTAAGCAAGAACAATTTGCTCTGTACCAACGCAACAAGCCAGCAATTATCAATCAGTGTTGTAGGGTTTCATTACTTGTGTGTGGAAACCAAAGCGTCCAGGAAAGCCGCAGATAACTTAAGACCAGACAATCAGAGGAAGAATTTAAATATACCTCTCGGAAAGTACATAGTGTATGTCTTATTAGTTGGTTGCAGAAAGACTGGCAAAAGTGTTCAGCTGGGGAGTGGGAAAGACAGGCGTTTTCTGAGAGGTAACCCGCGGGAGCAGCCAGCCCTTCCTTGGGAACAGCAGGAGGAAGCCAGAGGGGCGAGGTCAGAGGATGTTAGGGCTCGGGGTCTGTCCCTCCCTGGGTGCGCGGTCCGTGGATGTATTTGTTGACCTAGCAGGTCTAGGCTGGGAAATGCACACTCAGCAAGGAAAAGGGAAGAGAGATTGGAGGCAGTTTTCTAAAAACAACGCAGCTCAAGTCTCCCGCTTGTGCCCACTCGCTCACCCCATCCAGTCACAGACCGGAGGAAACTGTCTCCCCCAGCGAGCGCGCCGGGCGCGAGCGCGTACCAGCTGGAAGAGAGCGAGCATCTGTGACTCGCAGACGCCCTGGCCGCTGCTCCCGCCCGGTTCCCCTTCACTGTCAACCTGCCAGGTCCAGAGAGGCGCCCGTTCCTCCAAGCCAAGGACTTAGGTCGCTCGGGTCACCCTAAATGTGACGATGCCCTCGACCCGCACAGCTGGAACGGGCGGGGCTGCACCAGGTTAAGCAGGACGGCCAGAAGGCTGTTGTGTGTGCGGGTCGTAACCAGGCGCCCGGGCTTTACTCCGCGGCGCTGGCTCCCCTGGGTCTGTGCTGGGCGCGGCTGGCGTCCCCGCCTTGCTTCCAGTTAGCCCTCCAGCTCCAGGCCAGGGCTGCCCTCTGCCCCTCCACGATCCCTTCCGCTCGCCCGGGGTCAAAACCCCCGGCCTTTCTATAAGCCCTTCCCACCGCGCCTCCCGGGAGTGAAAGCTGTTGAGGAGGAAAGTGCTGAGGGAAAGGAGGCGCTCGGGGACTGGACAGGCTCGTGGCGCCCAGAGGGCTGAGTCTCCAGCTTTGCAGGTTGGCGGCTGGGTATCAGGGACTCGGGCACTAGAGAAAGAAGGCTCGACCCGCAGCAGATGAGCGGCGAGTGCGAACTCCAAGAGTGCAACTCGGCACCGCCCCTAGCCCTCCAGCACCCTGAAGGGCACGCGTCACCACGCCCAGCCGCGATAGGCGAGAGCCTGCCCAGAGGCCTGCGCGCCTTGGGCGTCCTTTCTCCCTGCATGACCCTAGTTCATCCGCCAAAACCTTTGACCAGTCTCCTTGCCAACATTCCTAAATCTCCTTTGCCAGCTCTTTGCACCAGGTAGGATGTAGGCTCTGCTTTAGAGGTGTGTACATAAACGCCATTTCCCAGAAGATCTATGACCTTTTCACCTCCCCAAAACTCCTTCAGAGGGGGGTCCGTGGGCATTTAGCCCTGTTAGTGCCTGATCAGTGCCCACAACCTGTTTGTTCCCTGAATTATCCTTGCTATTCATATCCGCATACGCCTCCAGCAGCAGTTCCCGGAAAGCCCTCGGGGATGGAACTGGGGGGCGTCCAGCAGCAACGGAGGACGCGCAGCAGTGGGAGGGCGGTGAGCCAGAGCTTTGAGGCCAGCATATGTAATTGCCTGTGGCCGGGAGAAGGCACTGTGAGGGCCCTGTAAAGATCACCTCTCTCTGTCACTCTTCTCCCTCCCTTGGGATGCACAGAAAAGGGCCACCGGATTCCTGATTTCCAATTCCCTGGAGCTCCTGGGCTCTGAAACAAGCAAGGCTGGACAGTGCCTGGCGGCGGCTGCCCCCTAATTAAAAAGTCCAACACCTCCCACCCTCTGACCCAGAGAGAAGAGCTCCAGATCTCGGGGAACAATGAAGTCCGCAGCACGCGGGGGGCACCCGGGCGCTATTGACCCCCAGCCGGGAGCTCGTTGCCGGGCAGGGAGGCAGAGTGAGGCTGAAGCCGGGCTTCGCCCGGCGGGGCGGTCTGACACGGCTTTACGTGGCAGAGACATTGCCTCCGCTCGTTCGCTCATTCCACTCAGTGGTGCATCTCTCGGTCTAACCAGGTTTCTCCTTTTGGCTCTGTAATCCTGACCTGAGGTGGCCAGGGGCGCGGGCTGCTTTCTACCACAAGTCTCAGGTTGGCACGGTGGGGAGTGACAGGGGGTTGGCACCACTCTCCTCACCGCGGAGGCCACGGGCCCGGATTTAGAGTTTCGAGAAGCAGCCGCCACCTCCCGGGCACTCCTCTCTTCACCGCCGCAAGATCCTCGCCTCCCAGAGCTGCCCAGCTCTCTCCCCGCCCCCCGGGGGTTCCAAGCAAGTACGCCAAGGTAGGCCAGCCTGAGGCTGGCAGCGATCTTGATGCCCCTCACTGAAACACACACATCCTCACGCCCTGGGCGCAGACTCCTAGAGCCTTTCTTCCCGTGGAGATCCCTGCAGGGCCTCCAGAGAGACAGACAGACGGACAGGGAAAGCACACCGAGAGAAACTTGTTCCTCCCAGTCTCCTGTCAGGCAATTACTGGCGAGCCTGTGCGGGGAGAGGGGAGGGAGGAAGCGAGGGAAGGGCTCCAGAAGGGGAGGGGGAGGACGGAGGAGTGGGGGAGGCGGGGGTGCAGTTGGTGAAACTCCTCTGTCTCCCGCTCATCTTTTCATTGCTTGCTCCTCTCCTTCCCGCAGACAACCCGGACCTCCCCTGGGCGCCAGCTCCTCGGCTCCAACCGGTCCAGAAACAAACCGGATTTTTTTTTTTTTTTTTCCTTCTGGAAATTGGCTTTGGTGTACGTCGCCCTACCTCCCTCCTTCCTCCCCCTCCCAGCTTTTTTTTTTTTTTTTTTTTTGAGACATGGCCCGGGCAGTGGCTCCTGGAAGAGGAACAAGTGTGGGAAAAGGGAGAGGAAACCGGAGCTAAATGACAGGATGCAGGCGACTTGAGACACAAAAAGAGACGTGTTTCTCTCGAATCAAGGCATTGCCTCGCTGCTTTCCTTTCCCCAAGACGGACTGAGGATTTTACGGCTCTAGGAGGAGTTGGAGCGCTTCGGATTGTTTAGATTCCCCTCTTTGCTGTGTTTTCCCCTGCACGTTCTCGTTCTCCCGCGTTTGCCTGGGGATCCGGCGAAGGGAGGATGGAGAGGGGGCTGCCGCTCCTCTGCGCAGCGCTTGCCCTCGCCCTCGCCCTGACCAGCGCTTTTCGCAACGGTAAGTGACAGGCGGAGGCGCGTGTGACAGCGCGGTGCCCCGGGCTTCCCAGCTGCCCGCGTCCTGCCTGGATTCGGCTTCCCGCCTCAGCTACGCGACTCACGCAGAGCTGCTGCGAGCGTCCAGGAATAACCACCTCCCGGGCGTAGGAAACTTTTATCTGGGCGGAGAAATAAAGAAATAAGATCAGTCGGTTTAGGGCAGGAGGATTCCAGGTCCTCTGGCTCCCTCCTGAACTTGGTTGTTTGGCTGTGGGGGTTTTCCTGCAGAGCTGGAGGTAGGCAGAGCTGCCTACCTTCCCAGATCAGCACACCAATTATCTTAATAATGTTTCCTCCCAAAGGCAATTAAATGAGACTCCTTTCAAAAATCTGATAGCTGTTGAAAGTTAATGAACACTTTTCCCGGAGAACTTCCTGGTTCTCTTTCAGTTTCCTTAAACTGTTTCCTCTGGTGGGCGACTGCAAGAGATAGCGGTTTGTCTTGTCTGTTGCTGGAACTCCCCCGCCTTTGTAAATCGTCCCTGGTCCATCCGCAGTATGAATGAAAGTTACATAGTGTCAATAAAGGAATTTGATATATACAGTGTAAGTCACCAGCATATCTGAAAATCCCCAACCTAGTTGCCGCTTTCACTTCGCTTTTAAAACCACTCACTGTTAAGTAAATGAAAGACTAGGGTATAAGCAGTACCATGTAACCTAAATAATATGTTTTAAAATATGATCTGGTTGTAAGCATGTTCGATTTACACTGCAAAGTAGGTGAGAGAGAGAGAGAGAGCATGAAATATCTTTACAGTAAATCTTCAGCAATTATTATTAACTAATGATCAAATATTTACTTTTGTCTGGCTTAGATTTCAATCAAAGTAATTAGAAGCAAAGAACATCCGCTACTTACTATAGTATATTGTTTTAATAAGAGACTGCAAGTGGAGAGGCTCATAGCAAGAGGAATTTAAATCACATCTTTATGATGGAAGTTAATCTCTCTAATGTGCTTTTTCCTTGAGATTTTGTGATTTAAGCAATAGATTCCCCCTGCACCCAGAGGTAACAAGCAGTGTTCTAATAGATAATAAAAAAAAAAAAAGTGAAAGTGGATGGAGCTCAATTTATTAATGAACCTAAGTTGGAGGCATCTTTGTGTAATCTGGCAGGGAAGCAAACACTCAAAAAATTGTGAATGTGGAGTTCGATTTATTAATGAACCTGAGTTCGTAGCATCTTTGTATAATGTGGAGGGAATAAAATAACATTCCCTTCCAACTGAACGAGCTCAATGGTTAAACTTTTAAAATTATAGCAATCTACTCTATATCCTACACAACTCCTGATATTACATTTATAGTGGGGGTGGTTCACAAGATGGATTTGAAAGCTAGCTCAAAGAGATTTTACATTCTGAACTACACACACACACACACACACACACACACACACACTTCTTAATTTCCTTAGCAGAAATCTGGGGAATGCTGAGAATCTGGGCTTCAGTCAGTGAGCTTGACTAGCTAAAGCCATATTGCTCTGCTTGAAGTGACCAGAGCCAGTAAATGCCTCAATAAGTTAGCAGTCCTCCTAAAGCCATGTCCACCTCCTCCGAGTACCAGTGACTGCTAAATTAATTCATTAACCTTATTTAGGACTAATGGTCTACAGTCATTAGAAATTGCTCTTTCTTAATCAACTGTTAGAGAGATTTAACAGAGCCAGGGAGTCTAGCAGTCCACATTATCTTATTACACTGTCACTTTCTCAGAAGTCACAGATTAAAGAGCTCTGGTGTGGTACCAAGTCCACCTAAATGTCTTCTGAAGTGACTCTGTCGAGTGACTAGAAGCAGTGCTGTTTTATGTCACTCTTCTAACAGATGCCAGACACTGCCATGATGTTTGTACAGAGCTGGAGGAGACTTAATGAGACAGGTTCACTTTCCAAGTTTTCTGCACATTTAAAATAATGCACGAGTCTCAGTAGAATCACGTAACAGAGTCCAGTATGATCATTAGCTGAGATTCTGAATGCCAGTTGCAACATCATTTCTTCTTGGCAAACCTAAAGCTTTTAAAAGCCAATGCAAAGGAAACCAGTATAAGACTATCCCCAATCTAAGAAACAAAGTCAGAAACATCTAGCAAATGAAGAAAACAATATAATTTATATTGTCTTCTTTTTAATTTATGGGAAATGACTTCTGTAATGCATGTAGCTTTATGCATTTTTGATGTGCACTTCATCTTTCATTTCCATTTGACCTGGTTTTCCTGTAATAAAATTCTGTAGATTTATAAATTCATGCTGAGAGCAAAGAATGCCATTCTCTTTCCACAGGGAATCTATTAGATGCAATATTAAAATCTATATATACCATTACTGAATATTTGTGATTGATAGGCTTATATATTTCACTGCTTTCATACCTGTTCCTCTTACATAGTTTATGCACCAAATTTTTATTGCTTAAAATTAAGCATCAATAAATGTGGCAGCATTCCAGGCCGAGGCTCTCCAGTATGAAATTCATCATAAAAAGTGACAATAGGGATCTACGCTGAACAATAAACCAACCCAGAGACTGGTTTATTTGGCTCTCAGTGAATCACTTCAGCATTTTTTTTTTAAAATGAGGACTCAAAACTAGTTAGCTCACCTTTTCCAGAAATGAGAATGTGGCTCACTCTATGTGAGCCACAGACATCAGTGTAGTGGGGATTTTTTCCTCCTCCAACATTTAGGTAATTAGAATTAATGCTTTGTGGCTATTTATTTTTCTTTCTGCCCCATTGCTTTGATCTGGCCTCCAAGCCTGAGCAACTTGGAGAAGTAAAGCAGAATTATTTCTGCTTCACCAACTATACTTTGTTCTCTGTTGATTTGGATCTCAGGAGGAGAGATAACTCAAAATCACTCAGATTTATGGGCAGATAAAACAACAACAAAAAGGGGTTTGGCTTTAAGCCAATCAAAGTCTTGGAGGACAATCCCCACTGATCAATGACATAGACCAGGCTTATCATCAAAAAGCAACACAAGGGGTCGAACAGCTTCTTTTAGTCACCTTCCACTTAGAACTTGCTACTTAATGTGATTACACTTCTTGGGGGATAATTAGGTCTAGCAGAAGCTCCCAGGGGACCATGTTAACATCAATTGAGGGGATTTAATGTTTTTAATGCTAGAAGACCTTTTTCTTGGGCAGAAACTTTGGGGGTGGAGAGAGTATTCTCAAATCTCAATTTGCTTCTGCTGGAGCCAACCTCCCTGAGATCAAAGAGTGTTCCTTAGTGGAGTGTTGCTCTCAGGGCCACCTGAGGACTTGTGGGGACTTCTTGGAGTTCCCTTGAAAAAGTTATGGAATGTTTATTAACTGTTAATGTATATATAAAACTAAAATACCTAACTGATTGTCAGGGAGAGCTCTACTAAAATGTTATATTTATTACAGATAAATGTGGCGGTACTATAAAAATTGAAAGCCCGGGGTACCTTACATCTCCCGGTTATCCTCATTCTTATCACCCGAGTGAAAAATGTGAATGGCTGATTCAGGCACCGGACCAATACCAGAGAATTATGATCAACTTCAACCCTCACTTCGATTTGGAGGACAGAGACTGCAAGTGAGTGAAAACGTGTTTGAACAGGGCACCACAGCACCATCTAGTGGTCTTGCATGTCCACGGGGGAAATCCTGTGCAGTAAAATGTAGGATATAAATGGATCCAGAAGGGATTCCAATCTAGGCCAGATCATTTGTCTATGGTATAGAAACTAAATTACGTTTCTGAGTTCCTAAAACTAGAAAGATGATGTTTAAACGTCTAATCGCTCATACTATTTCCTGTTAACACTTTTGTTTTTGGAAATCTTTTAAGAAATGTGTATGTGTGGATCTTTTCTTTCTGGAAAGGACTTGGAGAACTAGAAAGCCAAACTTCTGCTTACATTTTTATTAAACATCATGGGTCACAGAACACATTATCCACAGATGGTGGGGGTTGCATATTTTTAAAACGAATTTGTGACACTTGATACAATGTAAGAACTGTATTTTCTTATTGAATTTGACATGGAAAAAGGCAAATTGTCATTGAATCAAAGTCAAAGTGTATAGGATCAATAAAATGAGGGTTTTTAAAAAATGGTAGATTAATGACTGAAAGACTTCATGAAAAATGCTAGTAAGGTACATTGAATATAATGAGAACCCAAATATACCTATTTTTCATCTATTATCCTCTCTCCTTCTATTGTTAAATTACTAAGCATCACTTTGTCATATTTTGCTATTACAAATACACTTTTCTATAGAGAAGCCCAAATTATACTTTTTCACTTTATTTGAAAATACTAGTGTGTTGATGTTGCTTTCCACAGTATGGAAATTATGTTTTCACATTGCATGTGTAAGTCCACTCAGATCCATTTTTGCTAGTCTCTCTTGTTGTTCAGCACACCAGCTGTCCATCTTGTCCATGTAATTCCATTCTGCTACACTAAACATGGTGTAGTCCCCAGAAACTTGAACCTGCATAGCGATCTTATGAAGTTTATATGTGTATATATGAGCAGTATTATCAGAGGAAAATAATTTCTTTAAATCTCAGTTCTAAAATATTCCTCATGGACTTGTTTTTGCAAGTTTTAAAATGGGTCACTTTGATTTAATCATATAACAGTGTCTATAAGCTACTACTTCATTGAACACAAACATTATCATGGAGGCATATTCATTATTAAAATATTCTATCTGCACATACTTCATTTTAGGAAAGAATAGAATAATGTGAAAATATTCCCACCTGTAGGAAGTATCCAGCAATCTGTTGAGTTGGTAGAGTAAACTCTCTGTAGTCAAGGAAATTAGGTCATCTGGTTAATTCAACAATTTGGTGTCTGGAGAATTAGTATACAAGCATAGACTGATAATCGGTTTCTAAATAATCAGCATATATTACAATGCAATAAAATTATGCTGATTCCAATTTAATCTTTATTCTGTGATTCAAAAATGCTTCTGGGCCTAGTGTTGATTTTTCAATTTTGTGTGGAAATTGCCATTAATAGAGTGTTCCAATGACTACTAGGAAACAGGGGGTCCGTCGTATTTTCTTTTTCTTTTCCACAAATTCTGTGTGTGTATGTGTATGTTGCTTGAGATTGAACCCAGGGCCTCACACATGTTAGGAAAGCACTCTACCACTGAATTATACCCCTTTGTCAACCACATATACAACCTGGAGACTTGTCTTCTATTTTAATTAATTAATTTTTGCTTTTTGACAATGCTTTAACTGCTACAGGAGATATTTTTAAGAAATTCTGGTAAAACATATTTTTAAGAAAATTGGGTAAAGCCAAAAAAAATGAGGTGCTACTAGATTTCAATAAACTTATGTTTACTAATTCCTACTCAAGAAATTATGGCCATGTATATGTGTAATAGTATAATAAAGAATTTTAAATAATCACTAGTTATAAGCAGTGGTGTGCTGGTAAATGTTTAGCACTTGGCTCTTGGAAAGAGTTGACTCAAATTCTGAGTTATAACATTTGCTTCTTTCCATGGTCTAAATTCCCACCATGTGAACTCCTCATGTGATGTCATCATACACACACTTGAAAAGAGACATTCACAACTGGTTCTCGTGACCTAGTGCAAACCAGGTCCAGCACATAACTGGGATAGAAGTTATAGAAGGCAAGCCAGTTGCATGAGTTAATTATGTAAAGTGCTTACAACAGTGTCTGGTGCACAGTAAACCATAAATCATGATTTGTCATATGGGACAGGAGAGGGTGGGATTGGAGGATCATTGTTTTCATTTTAAAGATAACATAAAGGATGATGGTAATTTATAGAAAGACAATTTTAATGATATCAACAAGGTTTTAGAGAATGTAACATAACTAAGAAGATTGTTTCTATAACAATCGAATGATGATGAGGTTTGCTTTGTGTTTTGTTTTTTTGCGAGGTTTTATTTGTTTGCTTGCTGTGGAGTAGAGTGGTTTCTTAGTCGTCCTAACTGAGGCTCTGCTTTCTGTGAAGCTGCCATCTCCTGGCCAGGGGTGAAAGATGGATACATTTAGTCTGATGAAGTCAATAGAGATTATGCTCATGGAAAATGTTTTGTGTCATATTTTGAAGTATAACTACCTGATCTTTTTAGTCAAGAAAAATTCCAAGAGGATATAGGAAGACTGACTTTAGGCATCACCTCCACTGTCTTTCCAAGCGGATCCACATGACTCCTGGTCATTGTTGAGGTTGCAGTTGAGATTCTTCAAATGTGGCCCCAAACTTACCTCCTTTTGTAAGACTGTGAGAAGTATCACAGCTTTCAAATTTACAGGTGATTAAAATTCCATAGAAAAAATGAAAATAACAGAACCTCTTTAAGTGACAAGTTTATAGAGTCCAGTGTTTATTTTAGATGCCACAAAACATAGCCTTTGTTTTCCCCTTTTATTTTATTGGGGTGTTTTGTTGTTTTTGATTTGGAATTTGTTTGTAGTGTAAATTAGGTGATTTACAAAAATAAATGCGCAGTGACACAAAACTTGACTCAGTATATCACATTTAGAGAGCCACATTTAGAGAGCTGGTAAGCTTTTAGTTACCACTCCTATTAAGAAGAAGCTGTTTATCTTATTTGAGATGTTTAATATTTTACCCTGTTGCAGCTACAGTATATGTCTAATAGTAGCAGAGAGTACTTGCAGTACTGATGTCACTACTTTACTGGTAGGATAAAATGAAGTAACAGATACAAAAATTCTTTGAAAAGTGAAAAGCCGTCCACCAAATCAGTTTTCATCATTACTATGATGTCTTTAACAACTTGGTTATTGTTAGAGCATTTGAAAATGTGAAACTAAGCATATGTCAAGCTGAATATATTGATCCATTAATGGGATGATTGCCATAGAATACACTCTTCATTTTCTCTTGAAATTGTCAGTATTTGTTCAGTCAACTTTCACTGTGAGAAAGCTCAAGAAATCAATTTCTTAGCACATTTCCTTATTGAGAAACATCCTTGAGATACAAATAAGTGATTTTCTTTCCCAGGGTATAGAATGGCTAACATTATTAAATAGACTAGCTGAATAGTTCTGGAAGAAAAATATTTTTATTTAAAAATTTATTGTTTGGGTTATAATTATGAAAAGAAATCTTTTCGTGACTTCAACAGTATAGTGTATAGTTAGAGTTTTTCATGTGAATAGTGTTAAGACCAACCCAGTTCATAGGTAAACTATAAGCCCTACTTTACAAAATGAGTGTTAAATGTTCATGGTGGCTATGAAGGTGGGACATTTCCTCAGCGGAAGTAAACGTGTGAGTTATGTAGGATAGTTTGAAAATACAACAGTTGGTGTTGATGCCACCACTTAATCAGGCTCATCCTAAATAAACATCAAAACCATGATAATGTGACCCCTTCAGTTTTTTTATTGAACAAGGTGTGCTGTTAGTCAATCAATCAGTAGAACAACAGAGCATCTGTCCACAGGGCCAAACTAGGGTGAGGATTTCTATAGATATTGTTTTGTTGACGTACAAGAAAGCACTAGAGAATGTTCAGGGAAGACATGGATGATTTCTGTTTTTTGTATCAGCAAAATCCTGCATGCTCGTGAAGTGTGAAAGTACTGTGATAAGTCCAAAAGAAAGAAAAATGCGGAACAATTGAGTGTTTCTCAGAAAGAAATATTCATGGTACACTGTAGATGGCTTCCAGTATTTACATGGAACTCGTTAGCCCTTACTTCACTAAAGTTTTCTTCAGTGGTGAGGCAGACATCTTGATTCTCATAAAACTTTATATCTGTATAATAAACAAGAATGTCATTGATACAGTAGTTAGAATTTATGAAACTTTTCCGGTTTCCCAGCCATGCAAACTATCAGCATGATAATTTATAATGGTTTGTGACAAATACTGCTGAGCAAAGAGGTGTGTGGTTACATTCAGATCATATGTCGTCATCTGGGGAGCAATAAAAATTTCACAGACATTGGGTTAAAAACATTAAGAAAATGAATGTGAAGCTCCAAAAATTTTTTTTTTAAAAAAGTCAAAAAAGGTAAGTAAAAAAACTTAATAATGTTTTTTTAAAATAACCTAAAAATAACCATTATTATGTTTTTTTTCTATCGACAAGACTCTGACTTCAATGTGATTTGACAGTGTTAGTTAATAGCATAGTGTAGATGCTTTTCTTTCCATAATTTAAGATTTATAATCTCATCTTTGTGTAGACCAATAATAGGTGTGTTTTTCTTAATTCAGCGTATTCAAAGGAAGATTTCACTCTTGTAACTTCAAATGAAGTCTAATCACAGATAAATTATAATTAAATAGAGATGATAGTCAAGTTTGGGAATTTTATCAAAATAAATCACACATTGTTTCTTAATGCTACTTTTCAAATTGCCTAAATTATCACAAACATTAAAATACTACTAATCTTCTTCATTTTCATGGAATATAAAGCCACTGAATGAAAATTAATCTGCCGTTAGTTTCTCAAATCTGATTATTCCTTCAAGTTTCATTTTACAATGGTCACATAGTTATTTAATTGGTCATTTTGAGGCTACGCATTCCTT